GTGATTAATTACAAGTTAAATGTTTTTTTTGTTTCTTTTTTGCTCTTTATTAATTATTACCTTGTCTTTCATAGTTATTAATTGTTAATTTGTTTTGTTTTTTACAATAATTGTTACTTTTATGTGATTCCCTGTTAACTTGTTTTTTATTCTCTTTTTTTTTTGCTAATTATTGATTGTTAGCTTGTTTCTTTGTTTGTTATCCTTTGTATATTTGTTTTATAACTACTAATTGCATAGCTTATTATAATTGTTAGCTTTTACTTCCTTTTGTAAGTTAATATGTAGCTATCTTTCTTTTGTTAATTAATAATTTTAATAGTCATTAAATTTCCTACTTATTTTAAGATTTTAAGATTGTCAAAGTCTGGACTATCGCCGTCAAAGATGTTCACGCTATTAAAGCGTGCAAGATTTATAAAAAGTATAAGTAGGTGTATGTATATACTTTTCCTTAATTTAATTTTTACAGGTAATAAGAAAGTACTTGTATGTATTTCTCCATATCATTTCTAAAATTTGACGGCACACTTAAGGAATTTGGCCGCTGCCCAGTCATTGAGAATAACTGTCATTCTTAATAAATTATTTTTTTAAAATTAATAGTTAATGTGAGGCAATAAAAGACTCATATTGATTAAATTAATGGATTGTGTGTAAATTTCAACATAATTATAACCCATGCATTTATTAACATTCGTTTTATTTGTGTAGAATTAACATTTTGGATCATAGAACCAGATGATCGAGAAGTATTAGAGGGTCAGGCATTCATTGCATTGCAGATGGACATCCAAACCCGATCATATCTTGGTACAAATATCAAAGTAAGACTCATTCTACTTAGTTATCATACTTTCTTTATTTCTCAAAGAGCTGTTGCAAAATATTTGCTTAATCTAGACACATTCACTACTTTAAAAATATACTTGTAAAAATATGGCAAATTTAAATGCACTTTATTCATTCACTGTAATTATAAGATTGATATTTTTTTTTTCTCTGTAGTGTAGTTCAACTAGGAGAGCTGCGGTTGCAAATACAGTTCTTTTTATACTTTTAAAGCAAAGTGTTTTTATTTTATTTTATAACCGTCCTTGAGAAGCAGACCAAATTTTTGGTTTACAGCTACCAATGTTCAACTTCGTAGCCTTATAATTTTGAACACAATCTAGAAGATAAGGGAACTTCTGGATCAAGTATTTGAGGGGGGGGGGGGNGGGGGGGGGGGGTGATTTGCCTTCGTAGGTTTTTTTTTGCTGAAATTAACCCACATTTGCGTTACATGGAAAAGAAAACCTCCCACGGTTAGCCTGACGGCAAAGGAACTCTTACCCATGATTCGTCTACCATTTAGGATATTTTACGTCAGCACTGTGGTCGGTGCAAGCCTGATACGAAAATTGAATCGACCAGTCATTGCTGGGATTCAAACCCGGTACACCTTATTGGGAAGCAAGAGCTCTATCCCCTGAGCCACCACGACTCAAACCAAAGTGATTTTCGAAATATAATTTTAATTAATAAAAATGAATTCATTGAATTATGAAATGTCATTTACTCTTTAAATTTGACAATTCACTCTACAATTTCATTAGAAAAGGAATATTATTGTGAGAGATCATTCACAATTTGATTTCACGAATTTTCTTGATAAAAATCTAAAACATTGTATAAATCAAAGCATACATAAAACTTTGAAAAGAAATGAAATCACCCACTGAAAAAAAAACACCTTTTAGGTTACAGAAATCTTCACTTCGAGAAAATATTTAAACTAGTTTTAAAATAATATGTGCTTATAAATCATAGTATTCTTACTAAAGCTTTTTTGTTGGTTGTATAATATAGTTTTATTGATCTGATCACAAATACTTGCTCCATAAAGCTGTAATAAATTTGCAAAAAATTTTAGAGTGATGCAAATTGAATAAAAAATGTCGCGATAATTTTAAATTTTGTAAAATCTATTTTAAAATTAATATATTCAAGAAACGAATAGAGACACGAAATAATCAAACGAAGAGTTGGAATAACTTGATATCTAAAAGAAAACTAAGTGATGTCAATATACATACATAAAATAGGCATGTAGCTTATCTACTATTCTTATAATTTTATGCGGATTGACTATATTTTCCTCAAAATCTTTTTTTACCTTTTTCTTCGATGAAATGTTATCATAGAATAATTTTTAATGTTGAAAAGTTAAGATAAATGTTGTGATGTGAATTACTTTTTCAGGTAGCGGAGGTTTCGTCAACGGAAGTAGAATCCACGTGGGAAACAACGGAACCTTATCCGTCCACTCAGCCGGAATGAAAGACGGAGGAATGTACGAATGCGAAGCGGACAACGGCATCGATCACCCTCTCAAGAAAACCGTTCAAGTGAGGGTGAAGGGTAAGGGATTCGCGAATAAAAAACGTTCAAGACCATGGCCTCCTTTTATTTCAATCTCCACTCTACACACACATGCACACTCACAACAACACTTCATCTAGAGATAGCGTTTTCACAAACCTCCATTAAAAGAATCTTCTTTTTTCAGTTCCGGCAAAGTTCGAGGAGAAGTTCGCTGTGGTGAACGTGAAGAAGGGGGACAGCGGTAGAATGAAAGATGAAGCCCTCGGAGATCAACCCCTCTCCATCACCTGGCAGAGGGATGACGCTACCATCAGCAAAACTGGTGATGAACGGTAAATTGCATCACCCCTCTTTCTTTCAATACAGTTTTCATGCAATATATATGTATGTATGTGTATGTATGTATGTGTATATATGTATGTATGTGTATATATGTATGTATGTGTATATATGCATGTATGTGTATATATGCATGTATGTGTATATATGTATGCATGTGTATATAAGTATGTGTATATATATATGCATGTGTATATATTCATGTGTATATATTCATGTGTATCTATGTATGTATGTGTATCTATGTTCAAAACGTAGAGAAAACATGGAAAAAATTACAGAACAATGAAAATAAGAGACAAATATTTTAAAAAAAGAAATAAATATTGCTTTTCTTAATTTTCATCACTTTTTCTTTTGCCCTTTTTGTATTTATTTATTATGCTATATGAATAAATGTATTGAGCACCATAAGCAAGAATTGAGAGGAAAACTAAGAAAATTAATAAAATTGTTAAGTTTTACTTACTGCGCATAAGCTGCAAGTATATAGAACTCATAAAATAAGTAAAAATTATAGAAAATAGTAAAGATTAATGAAAAGTGAGGAAGAAAAATTATTAAAATAAATTTTTTAAAAATATTTTTATAAAAATATATTAAAAAGATGATAAACAAAATAATGAAAAGATATCTCTTCATCAGCTCACACGATTATATCCACAAAAAGGAGTGCTTTCTAATATTGCCTCAATATAGCCAAAGCAAAATATATTAATACAATGAGTGTGAGGATCTCTCAAAAACAATTTAAACGGAAATAACACATAATAAGTAAAAAGACATGCGAAATAAAACATATCGAGCAAAAAACAGAAAACACTGAACAAAACACGAAACTAAATCTAAAAAGCGAGTAGCGAATTCAAATGAACTTACATGCATCGGAATCTTTAAAGAATGATTTAAAATATTTTAGTAATAAGATTGCAATAATTTAACTTCAATAATCTTTATCAGTTTCCCTGTTTTCTTTATATTTTTAACTTATTAACTATGCCAGATTACAAAATATGAAAATAATAGCGCAAAGGAAGGTTAGAAGCGTAAATNTTTTCGTTTTTTAAAAGCCCTTTAAGGTGCTTTTTTCATTAGGTGTTTTTAAAAGGTGCTTAATTTTCCCTTTTCGAAAATGATATTTTTTTCTTTACCTTGTCGATTTTGGCACGCATATTATGCAAAAGCGTGCTTTTCACATTGTTCTATTCTACGTTTTCACAATCCATTTCGCCCTAACGCCGGTCCCTAGCGGATGAAGGAGCCAATCATTTTACATGTTTGATGAAATACTTGCAAATCTGCATATGCGTCTACTAAGCTGAGTTTGGTGAGATTCTAGTGTGCAACTCTGCTGCATTTTGTAAGATATTCTCAACTTCAAGCTTCATTCCCCCCCCCCGAAATTGAATTGAAAAATCTCTCAATATTTTTATGGTGGCTAATATAATCAAGAAAAGAGTTCTTTGTCAGAAACTAGTTGTTTTATCATATCAACTCTTTGTAAATTATTTTGCATTTTGTAAATGTATATAGTGCTAAAAATATTTTTTTAGTTCTTAAAATGTGCTTATTTTTTGTTGAAAGATTTGGCTGCGCTCCCTGTTTATGTGTTATGGAAATAATGATAATGAGTTCTATTATTTGACTGCAAGGAAAGATTGTGTTCATAAGAAATAATTGTATTTTTTTTTCAACTGTCACCAAATGAAGGAGGAGCTTAGCATCTGTATATTCTTTGTATATATAATGAACATAAAATTGTTTGTGTTTGACATAAATTATTTTTAAAAAAAATGAGATTATTGCATTATTTTCAATAAAGGCTTTCATAGCATGTTAACATTATCCTCAACTTTTTACATAATTTGCACAAAAGGGTATGTTATATCGAACTTTTAAAACATTTATTAGAATTGAATTTCAAAAAAATGTTGCGGTTCATTCAAAGTGCTATCCATTTTAATATTGAATATCTGTAAACTATGTCATCAGTGCTCCCCTAAATCCGAATTTTGATAACTTTTTTTTTAAATAAAATATCACCAATTTAATTCTTTTTTTTTTTCAAAAATAAAAGCATGAAACTAGTTATTATTTTTGTGTAAAATTTAACACAAGTTAAACATCTTTATCAGCTTTAAAAAATCTGTGTTTATAGGTTTACATATATATATATATTTTTTTTTTGGAAAATGGAAGCTATTTTCTACGTTCAGAGGCTATAAAATACCTTCTTTTTATGTATTTAATTTCTGTATCATCAGAACTTTTCTTTACATTTGTTATCAATATAATCTATAATTAAAACTGATTTTCACAATATGCAAAATCATGGGCATAATTTTGCACGTTACATATGCATAATTTTGTATAATTATGCATAAATTTGCATGTTTAATTATCCCAGTATACGTGACACAGTGGATTTGGTGATGTTTGCTATCTGTAGTTGTAGATTCGGTGGGTTATTGTCTGCTTAGTAAAAACAGTTCGTTCACCAGGAGTTGGCACTCGGCTCCACCTCGTCGGACGAAGAGTTCATTTCAACGCGGGAGTAAGAGGAGAAACGTCTCTGCGCTTGAAATTGAGACAACCCTTAATGCATGCCAAACGCAAAAAGTGAATTCTCTTTCAGTAACTTACTTCGCTTTATCATCTGCTATTATACCTTTCGTTACTCTAGCTAATTAAATATATTTTAAATTTAAAAACTGCTGTTTTTCCAGCAAAATATCTCAAAACGACAAACTATTCACTCGAAAGAGAGAAATGTCAAATTTATGAAATATTTGATGTTAAAAGAAAGCACATAAAGATTGTGAAATAAATATTTTTGTCAGACGATCGCCAAATAGGATTGTTCACATCCTTCTCCCAAAAATAGCGAAATAGTATCGTCGGACTCCACGTGATGAACTGATGAGCCAACTGCTGGTTAACGAAATATATAAGCTTTTTTTCATATATTTATGTATTTGCCATTTTCTGTTTTTGCCCTCAACAATTCTTGGCAAGAATCATAAAAACATTGTTTCAACATTGGAAAAAATTTTCAAAATTGTGCAAGTGTATTCGCGATCGCAACGAACTATAGGGGGCGTTGTTGTATGAGACTAATACCTGCGATTTCTATATGAACAGTCATTCAGTTACTCTAGAGGCGTCGTTAATGTAGCACGTAGCATTGCAACGTTCCTTCTTTATTGTGGCTAATTAAATTTAAAAAAGAAAAATGCTTGATATTCTTTCTTATGCAAACGAAAACAAAATGGTATCTCTTTTTATTAGAGTAGGAATATCCAAAACACATCGGAAAAATAATTAATTTATGATAACCAGTGTATATACTTGCATATACTTATATTATATACTTGCATATACTTCTTATAATACATGGTGGTCTTGGTGGTGGTGGTACGCATTCCTCTTTGGCCGGAACATGGCTAGACCACGTCCAGGATACCGCTTCCGACAGAAAATCAAACACCATCTGCGGATCCTCCAAAATAATCTATGGGCTTTTAATATATACTGGCTTATAATATATTCTTGCATATATTCGCTGATATTAGATACTTGCTTATAATATATACAAGAAAATACTTGCTTATAATATATAGTAGAATATACTTGCTTATAATATATACTAGAATATACTTGCTAATAATATATACTTGCATATACTTGCTTGTAATATATACTTGCATATTCTTGCTTATAATATATACTTGCATATACTTATAATATATACTTGCATTTACTTGCATATACTTGCTTATAATATATGGAGGTGGAGGTGGTGGTGGTGGTGGTACGTATTCCTAATATGTGGCTATCTTTCTTTTGTTAATTAATAATTTTAATAGTCATTAAATTTCCTACTTATTTTAAGATTTTAAGATTGTCAAAGTCTGGACTATCGCCGTCAAAGATGTTCACGCTATTAAAGCGTGCAAGATTTATAAAAAGTATAAGTAGGTGTATGTATATACTTTTCCTTAATTTAATTTTTACTGGAAAGTACTTGTATGTATTTCTCCATATCATTTCTAAAATTTGACGGCACACTTTAGGAATTTGGCGGCACACAAAAGTGCCGCTGCCCTGTCATTGAGAATAACTGTCATTCTTAATAAATTCTTTTTTAAAATTAATAGTTAATGTGAGGCAATAAAAGATTCATATTGATTAAATTAATGGATTTGTGTGTAAATTTCAACATAATTATAACCCATTTCTTTATTAACATTCGTTTTGTTTGTGTAGAATTAGCATTTTGGATCAACGACCCAGATGATCGAGAAGTATTAGAGGGTCAGGCATTCGCCATTCATTGCATTGCAGGTGGACATCCAAACCCGATCATATCTTGGAACAAATATCATTCTACTTAGCTATCATACTTTCTTTATTTCTCAAAGAGCTGTTGCAAAATAGTTGCTTAATCTAGACACATTCACTACTCTAAAAATATATTTGTAAAAATATGACAAATTTAAATGCGCTTTATTCATTCACTGTAATTATAAGATTGATATTTTTTTTTCTCTGTAGTGCAGTCAACTAGAAGAGCTGCGGTTGCAAATACAATTTTTTTTATACTTTTAAAGCAAAGTGTTTTTATTTTATTTTATAACCGTCCTTGAGAAGCAAACCAAATTTTTGGTTTACAGCTACCAATGTTCAACTTCGTAGCCTTATAATTTTGAACCCAATCTAGAAGATAAGGGAACTTCTGGATCAAGTATTTGGGGGGGGGGTGATTTGCTTTCTTGCTTTCGTAGGGTTTTTTTTTTGCTGAAATTAACCCACATTTGCGCTACATGGAGAAGAAAACCTCCCACGGTTAGCCTGACGGCAAAGGGACTCTTACCCATGATTCGTCTACCATTTAGGATATTTTACGTCAGCACTGTGGTCGGTGCAAGCCTGATACGAAAATTGAATCGACCAGTCATTACTGGGATTCAAACCCGGTACACCTTATTGGGAAGCAAGAGCTCTATCCCCTGAGCCACCACGACTCAAACCAAAGTGATTTTCGAAATATAATTTTAATTAATAAAAATGAATTCATTGAATTATGAAATGTCATTTACTCTTTAAATTTGACAATTCACTCTACAATTTCATTAGAAAAGGAATATTATTGTGAGAGATCATTCACAATTTGATTTCACGAATTTTCTTGATAAAAATCTAAAACATTGTATAAATCAAAACATACATAAAACTTTGAAAAGAAATGAAACCACCCACTGAAAAAAAAACACCTTTTAGGTTACAGAAATCTTCACTTCGAGAAAATATTGAAACTAGTTTTAAAATAATATGTGCTTATAAATCATAGTATTCTTACTAAAGCTTTTTTGTTGGTTGTATTGTGGGGGGGTGGAGTTATCGACCATGTCAACTGTCATCTATGAAAAGGTACCCCCCCCCACATTGGTGACCTTCGGACGTGATGTGAACACGCCTACTTTGATCAGGATACGCCTACATCGGCAGCAACGCCTACTTCGTTGGATGGTCCACATTGAACAGTTGACTTGCTACTTGTGACTGCATCATTATCCACCTCCTCACGCAGTTGCTACTCAGTCTCATCTCGATCACACACAACGTCGGCTTGCATACTTGTGATTACTCGACTGCTAACGGCAACAGAGGAGCGACTACGACCGTGAAGTTAATACACCTCTCACATTCAGCACTCAAAAAATACGGTGATCTTAATACAGCTCTCCCGGCTTCGCACAAAACAGCAATGAATCAACTAGTGGCATTCATCCATCGAATTCCATCATAGCTATAATTCTGGTGGGGGAGTACTGTAGCGTATCTACCACTACAAAATTACAACTACAATTCACTAGTATATAAGACATGTTAACTCGACTCTATGTCGGGGTACCTTTTCATAGATGAAGGTTGACATGGTCTGTAACTACTCTCCCCACAGTATAATATAGTTTTATTGATCTGATCACAAATACTTGCTCCATAAAGCCGTAATAAATTTGCAAAAAATTTGAGAGTGATGCAAATTGAATAAAAAATGTCGCGATAATTTTAAATTTTGTAAAATCTATTTTAAAATTAATCTATTCAAGAAACGAATAGAGACACGAAATACAGCCACCGGGCGTCGGAATAACTTGATATCTAAAAGAAAACTAAGTGATGTCAATATATATACATAAAATAGGCATGTAGCTTATCTACTATTCTTATAATTTTATGCGGATTGACTTTATTTTCCTCAAAATCTTTTTTTACCTTTTTCTTCGATGAAATGTTATCATAGAGTAATTTTTAATGTTGAAAAGTTAAGATAAATGTTGTGATGTGAATTACTTTTTCTGGTAGCGGAGGTTTCGTCAACGGAAGTAGAATTCACGTGGGAAACAACGGAACCTTATCCGTCCACTCAGCCGGAATGAAAGATGGAGGAATGTACGAATGCGAAGCGAACAACGGCATCGATCACCCTCTCAAGAAAACCGTTCAAGTGAGGGTGAAGGGTAAGGGATTCGCGAATAAAAAACGTTCAAGACCATGGCCTCCTTTTATTTCAATCTCCACTCTACACACACATACACACTCACAACAACACTTCATCTAGAATCACTTCAACTTCTCAGACAATAACACTCACAACAACACAGAGATAGCGTTTTCACAAACCTCCATTAAGAGAATCTTATTTTTCAGTTCCGGCAAAGTTCGAGGAGAAGTTCCCTGTGGTGAACGTGAAGAAGGGGGACAGCGGTAGAATGAAATGTGAAGCCCTCGGAGATCAACCCCTCTCCATCACCTGGCAGAGGGATGACGCTACCATCAGCAAAACTGGTGATGAACGGTAAAGCGCATCACCCCTCTTTCTTTCAATACAGT